TGAAGTCACCAGGGCCACAGGAGACAGAGTCGCACTCCCCAGGAACACAGGGACTCCAAGTCAGGCACGAGCCAGGCAAGCCTTCCCCAGAAGCCTGACTTGGAGGGCACTCTGCTGACGGCAGTTCTACACAGGCCCAGGAGAATTGATTCATTACCAGGATATCTTAGGCCCAGACCTCAGCTTTCGGGAATCCCTAGAGAACCAGCTGTCTTCTGAGTTGAGTCTATCAGAAGGATCCCTGTCTGCCGGCCATGGTGTGGGACCCTCCCCACGTGGGACATGGGCTCATTGGGCCCCTATTGAGTTTTATGGCACCCTGTACTGTTGGCAAACAAGCCCATTCTTTATATGGGGAGAGAGGGTTGGGGGTTCCCTTGCCCATCTTTCTGGGGTTCTGGCCTAGGGTGGACCCTCACCCAACAGACATGCAGTCGTCACCCAGAGCTGCCACTCCAAGTTCTAAATGCACCTGGAATGTATGGGTCTCCAATCTAGGTGTGGGGAGGGGCCTCGGGGGCACCTGGCCGCTCTTGCTCCCTGTCCCCTCCAGCCAGGGCCAGTGGGTCCCTGAGCCAGCCCAGTGGGCAACCAACCCAGCCAGGGACCCCCAGAGGCCCTCCCTTCTGGGGAGTGACCAGCATAGGCTTGGAGCCAGCATTTGACTGGGAGCTGCAGCCACACCCACACCCACCAGGCTCTGCTTCCACCTTGCAGAGAGGAGGCCAGGGAGGGGAGTCCACAACTTTCCAGGTCATCTTCCATCAGGGGAAATGCACTGCCTGCAACCACACTGAGTCCCTCGGCCAAGCCTCCAAGTGTCCAGGAGGGGGAGGCCCAGCTTTGCCCGGGTCACCAAGCCCCTCGTGATGCTCCCCTCGAGCTGGGCGGTCCAAGGGATGACCAGGTGACTGGGCCCTGAGGGCTGCTAAGGCCACCACCAGTATCACTGTAATGGAAACTCCTTTGGTTTGTGAGCCAGGACAGCTCCGGTATCCGCCTGACGAGGAGTGAGGATCTGACCAGCGGATCCCAGGGCAGTCTGGAGGGCGCACTCAGCCCCGAGGTGCAGCACCGGCCAGAGCCCAGGTGGGCAGCATGTGCATGTTTGTGAGAGTGTGTGAGTGTGTGTGTATGTGTGTCAGTGTATATATGTGTGTGTATGAGTATATTTTGACTGTGTGTACACGTGTGTGTGCATGAGTGTGAGTGTTCATGGGTGTGAGGGTGTGTGATGGTGTATGTACATGAGTGTGGGTGTATGTGCACATGTATGTGTGAGCATGTGCGTGAGTGTGTGTATTAGTGGGTGAGGGTATATGTGAATGAGTGGGTGTATATGTGTGTGTGTATGAGAATGAGTGTGTGTGAGTTTGTGTGAGTGTGCATGTGAGTGCATGTGCTAGTGTGTGCATGTGTATACGAGTATGTGTGTGTGCGTGTGTGTGAGTGTGCATGTGTGTTAGTGTGTATTTGTGTGTGTGTGAATGAGAATGTGTGTATGCTAGTATGTGTATGTGAATGAGAGTGTGCGTGTATGTACATGTATGAGTGTGTGTGTGCATGTGTTAGTGTGTGTATGTGAATGAGAGTGTGAGTGAGTGTGTGTGCCTGTGTGAACGTGCATATGAGTCGGGGGGGTTGTGAGTCTCCCTTTTCTCCCAGGTGAGGTCTCTGGCTCACAGGAGCCTGGCCTGCCATCCCCAGCCCCTGGTGTCCTGGGGAGGCTGGAAGCAGGAAGCAGGGTCTGGCCGTGTCTTGTGCTCCCTCAGGTCCCAGGACCCTCCGACTTTGGAGGGCTGCAAGGTTGCCGGGCAGGGCAGCCACAAGTCAGATCCTGATGTCGGCGGCTGACGGGAAGGGGGCGGTCTCCCAGGAGCCAGCTGCTGCTCTGGAAGCCCTGCCTGCCCAAGGACCCTCAGAGAGGACAGAGACACATCCGCCAGCCATGGGCTGGGGTGAAAAGACAGGTGGTCCCGAGCGGCAGAGCAGCTGGCCAGCCCTCCCTCCAGCAGCCCTGGGAGGAAATGGGAAGCCCAGTGGGTGGTGTCCTGGAGTCATGGGCTGGAATGGACGGCAGGAGAGGCAGCCGGGCCTAGGGCTTGGTATCGTCTGGGGCACTGAACCAGGGGAGAGCCGCCTGCCTGCCTACACACCCTGGGAGTTGGTCAGCAGGGGGTGACTCGCACAGGGGGCCACGGGCTCTGCAGCATCTCTCAAAGGGTCCCAGATGAGGCGGGGCGGCAGGGCGGGCGCTCACCAAATCCCAAAAGGCCCCAACCAAGGTCTTAGGCCGTGGCCCTCACAGCCTCACCTCCTGCCAGCAGGACAAGCCCTGCTCTCAATCCCAGTCCAGTCCAACACAGTCTCTGGGCAGGCAGTTTCCTCCACCCCAGGGGAAGTTCCTTGCCCCTCAAACTAGGGAAGCTGGTCAAGGAAATTCCCCATTTCCAGCACAAAGGGAGGCACCATGGGATTTCTCTTCCCAGAGTGAGAGGCACCATCTCTGGGTAGGCGTGTCCTCCCCGGACACCAGGGCGGGCAGTAACGCTGGACAGGCGACACTGTGCAGGCCTGGGCTCCTGAGCTATTTTCCACCCTTTATCGCCCATCTGTCATGAGTGCCTCGAGTTACACCCGGTCCCTGCCAGAGCCTCAGGCCAGCCACAGCCGTCTTATGGGGGGTGGGAGCGCACGGACAGGCTTCCCCTACCCCTGCTGTGTGCCAGAGCCACTACTCCCTGCCCCATGTCCCCATTGGGGAAGATGTGGGCCAGGGAGGTCACTCCACTTGACCCAGGTCACAGAGCCAAGGAGGGAGGGACCCGGGACCGGGAGGGAGCAGTAAAGGGCCCAGGCGGAGGTGACCTCTGGGAGCAGGAGGACAGGACATCCCAGCCCTGTCTCTGGTGGCCATAACACAGCGCCTCGCGCCACGGGCAGGGGTGTGGGGCTGTTTGCCCTTGTCCCTGTGGAGCGCCATGGTCTGCTCTCTGGGCTGGTTTCCTCAAGGACTTCAGCCTGGTCTGGGCCCAGGCAGGGAGGCCGCAGGGCTGCCTTGCGGGGGTGGAGGGTGTCGTGGTCCTGGAGCACACCAGCCTCAGAAGACTCCAACCACACAGGCTCCTCCTTCCGCAAGGCACTTTGTCCAACAAGTCAGAGGGTCATTCCTCCACCCCAAACCCTCGCCTGTCCCTCCAAGGTGGAAACCAAGTCCAGGGCACCCTCCAACCCTAGTCCTGCCATAGACAAGTGGTCGAGCCAGCGTCCCCGACACACCACCGTGGGCCTGGCGCTCTGCGGCTGCTCTGCCCCTGGAGGCCGTGCAGGGCCCACATTCTAAATGACCCTGGTGCCGTGGCCTCTGAGCCAGCCTGCGGCTGGGTGTGGGTGTATGTCTCCTCCCAGCCACTTACGTGAGCAAGGCCTGGAGATAAGCCACCTACCCCGCCTCCTGGGCTGCCAGCTCCTGCCACAACCTTATTTGCAATAAAAACCCGATGCTGTGATAGGAGTAAATTGCTCCCTTTTGAAATAATTGAACCGTCCAGACGGCGTCCGCACAGACATTGTTAACGGGTGCTGCTCATTTGCGATATTTATGCCTGCAGAGGGACATGGCCGCCCATTATCTCCCGGTGGAAGGCTGCAAGGTGATGCAGGGTCACCGCAGGCCCCCGCGCCCCTCCAGGCAGCCTGGGGAACCCTGGAGGAGTGGTGCCTGTGGACGGAGCAGACCCATGAAAGGGGGCGGGGTCCTTGGAGTAGGAAAGACCCAAGGACACCAGTCAGGAAATGTGGGCAGCGGCCCCACACAGAGACAGAGAGGCTGAGAGAAACATATAGGGGGAGGCAGAGAGGTAAAGAGGAGACAGAGAGACACAGAGAGATAGAGTCAGAGACAGAGAGGCAGAGAGATAGAGGCAGAATCAGAGACAGAGATACAAGACAGAATTAGAGACAGAGGACAGAGAGATAGAGAGACAGAATCAGAGACAGAGAGACAACAAGACAGAGAGATAGAGACCGAATCAGAGACAGAGAGACGCAGAGAGATAGAGACAGAATCAAAGATAGACAGAGAGAGACAGGGAAATAGAGACAGAATCAGAGACAGAGAGAGGTAGAGGGATACAGATAAAATCAGAGACTGAGAGAAATAGAGGCAGGGAGATACAGAAAGAATCAGAGACAGAGGCAGAGAGATAGAGACAGAGACAGAGAGAGGCAGAGAGGTAGAAACAGAATCAGGGACAGAGAGGCAGAGAGAGATAGAGAGATAGAGACAGAATCAGAGACAGAGAGGCAGAGAGAGACAGAATCAGAGAAAAAGGCAGAGACAGAAAAATAGGAACAGAGACAAGAACAGAGAGAGAGGGATAGAGATAGGGATCGAGACAGAGAAACAGAAAGATAGAGAGACAGACAGAAAGAGAATCAGACAGGGAGTAAGACAGAGACAGAAAGAGACAGAGAGATGAGGCAAAGAGGGAAAGACAGTGAGTCTGCAGTGCCAAGGGGTGGCCCTGGGAGCTCAGTTTACCCACCAGTACCAGCCCTGGGATGGATGTGACCCTGGGAAACCTTTCTTGGCCTGGCCGTAGGTCTCTGAGCATTCACAGCCCGGGGCCCTGCTGAAAGGTGGAGCAGAGTTGTCTAGCAGGCTTGTCTGCGATCTCAAGGAATGGCAGTGACAACAGTGGCATGTGGTCTCCCCATCACAGAGGGCAGGGGTCAGACCAGGCAGGCCCGGTACCACATTACGCAGCCATTAATGCTGGTCATGGCAGCGGGGACATTGCTCCAGACAGTGCTAGGAGCACCAGGAGGACCCACAGTGCCCACCTGTCAGCGAGGACGACCACAGCGGGGATGGGGGAGCAGGGGACGCGGAGCACTGGCTTCTGGAGGGGGTTTCGCCTCCCTTTATTTCTATTCCACTGAGTGTTGCTGGTGTGATCAACAATGTCTTTGCTCGTCTTAGGACCATGATTCGGTAGATGAGGACTGTGGCACGAGCCTTGAACCCTGACGCTCGTCCAGAGACACCACGCAAGACCAGAAAGAATGAGGAGCCTGCGTGGGGCACACAGGCCCCGAGGGCCAAGAGGGTAAGGCCCACCACCCAGACCGGGCTCCACGGCTAGACTTCCATGAGGCAGAGGGGGTAGGCCTGGTCCCTGCTTACTCCCAGCGGTCCTCGCCCCAGGAGTGGGTGACTTGGGAGGTGTGGTCTGATGGAAGGGCATGGGGGCCCAGGTGGGTCACCGCAGGACTAAAGGGACAGAGGGAGGCCAGGGTGGCTCTGCATGGCATCAAGCCAGGGTCTGGGGTGGGAGCAGTATGGAAAGCTGAGAGGGAGAACTGGCCACCCCAACAAGTGGGAGGGACAAGCAGGGGTGCTGGGTGGAGGCAGAGGAAGTAGGAGCCACGGGGGCTGGGGAGCTGGGCAGCCAGGGAGGAGGGTGGAGAGAGGACAAACCCAGGCTGTCGCCAAGACCTAGGGCTAGGGTTAGAGCTTGGGTTAGGGTTAAGGGTAGGGCTAGGGTTAGGGTTAGGGTCAGGGTCAAGGTTAGGGTTTGGGTTTGGGTTAAGGCTAGGGTTAGAGTAATGTTTAAGGTTATGGTTAGGGTTAGGGCTGATGTTAGGGTTAAAGTTAGGGTTAGGTTAGGGGTTAGGGTTAGGGCTAGGGTTAAGATTGGGGTCGGGCAGGGGTTCGTTTCAGGGCTACGTTTAAGGTTAGTTTTGGGGTTAGTGCTAGGGTTCGGGAATTTGGTTGTGTTTAGGTGTAGGGTTTTGACTTAAGGTTAGGATTAGTGGTTGGGTTTAGAGCTGTGTTTAGGGTTAACGTTATGGGTTATGGTTGTGTTAGCAATACTTTTAGGGATTATAGTCTAGGTAGCGTTTGTAGAGTTAGGTTTAGTCTTAGAGTTATGGCTAATAATATGGTTAGGGTTAGGATCATATGTAGATATATGGTTAGTATTAGGGGTAGTAATTAGGGGATTGGGTTAGGCTTTCGCTTAAGGTTATCGATGGCGTTAATCTTAGTTTTACTGTGAATTTGCGGTTAGGTTAGGGTTAGAGCTTGTGTTAGGGTTAGGGCTCAGGTTCAAGTTATGGCAATGGCTAGAGTGTTGTTTAGGGTTAGCATTAGAGTTAGTGTTATTGCTAAGTCTATGTTTATCACTAGGGCTAGGGTTTGGTTAGGGTAGGATGAGGGTGAGGTTGAGTGTGAAGAAATATTCAGTTCTGGACTAAGTGGGAGCCAAAAGGGCTTGTAGCTGGGCAGCCAGGGTGTTGGGCATTGGAGCAGGAAGAGGGTGAGTGAGTATTATAGGCCAGGGTAGTCACCAAGAGCTAGGATTAATGCTGGGGCGTTTCCCCCCTCAATACCCATTCACATTCCCTAAACATCCTAGACAGGGTTAAAGAGGAGGGTCCCATTGCATTCAGGCTGCCCCTCAAGAGGAAAGCAGTGGACAGAAGGGGTTAGGTCTGAGCTTCCCAGCTGCGCCTGTCCAGGCTCTGCCCCTCCCCTGACCACCAAGTATGACAGGCCCAGCATGTCCCCACAAGCAGGCATGAAGGTCACAGGCTCCATGACAGTGCTGCTCAGCCTGGCCTCCTCCCCATCAATCACTGATCTCTCCTCACCTGGGCATAAGAGTGAAGCCTCTTGCTTGAACCTCCTGCCCAAGAACTCAGAAGGTAGTGTGTGCAGCCTTGGAGGACGCTGACATGAGACGGTCCTCACTGGAGGCTGGCTGTGACCATCAGCAGCATTCACATCAGTGCAGTTGTCATGACTCACCATGAAATTATTGGGGACCCCTCGGGGTGCGGGGACAGAGTCTGGGCTGAGACCCGGTCCTGCTGGTCACTGACCAAGTCCACTTGACATTGTTTGGGCTTCACTCCTGATGGAGCAGCTGTGAGGGGCAGATCTGGGGAGTTTCCATGCCCCCTCTGTTCCCTCCACAGAAGCCCAGAGGTGGTGTCCCATCCCTGGGGGATGGGGCTTATGGCCTGTCTGCCTCCTGCTCCACCCCAGGAGAGCGACAGAAAGTGCCTCCACTCCATCCTGAGACAGAGCCGGCCAGAGTGCCACCACCACAGAGCTGAGCCACAGAGGACCTTGAGACGCGTGCGGTTCCGTGAGCCCCCAGAGGTGGCCATCCACTGTAAGGGGCGCCTATGGCCAGTTGCCAGGTTGAGGGTGGGAGTCTGGGTGGAGCCAGGTGGGGACACTGGCCTTGTCCACACCGCTATAACAGGGCCCAGGGCTGTCCGGAGGGACCCCGGTCATCTGTCTGTCTTCACAGGCAGAACCCTGGTAAAACCTGGGCCCGTGGGGTCACCTGGACACAGAGTCCCAACCTGCAGAAAGCATATATAGCTGCAGCTTCCCCGGTCATGCCTATCCTCCAGAGCAGGGGCTGGGATCCTGCCAGCGTCTGGGTCCCCCCTGTGAACTGGGCAGCTGTACCTGCCAGGACCCATCTCTGGGTCCCTGTGAGCGGGGGAGTGGGTGACAAGAGAGGGCGGGGGGTCTTAGCCAACTGAGGCGCCGTGCCCGTGCTGACTCTCCAACTCTCTGTCCTCCTTCCCAGATATCGCCAGCAGGGACGCCACAGCCACGGCAAAGGGTGAGCTCTGTGCCCTACCCCAGCTTCCCAGTGCCCTCTCTTAGGTGTAACCTGCTCCTGCTCCCTCCCCAAGGGAGTTGCCCCTGACAGGGCTGTAAGCCCTTAAAGGGGCCCCAACAGGAGTTCTTGTGACAAGAGGCCACACAGGGCTGGGAGGGGCCTGAGGCACCATCCAAGTCCCATGGGGACCATGGCGGTCACCCCCAGGGCCCCACCCAAGCACTCACTTTGATGGGCAGAGCAGAGGTGCCCAGTCCTGAGGTGGCCTCAGTGCCAACCAGCTGGGCAACAGGCGGACAGTCTGGATCCTCCCAGCCCCTCCCTGAAGCCTCAATGGGCAGGTCAAATCTCATGGGGCCTCCCTGGAGGTCAGGGCGTCTGGGCTGACCCTGCTGCTCTCTGCCCCAGTGTCCAGCTGGCCTGCACCCCGAGGTGGCTCCCTGCTCCTGCGCCTGTGCGTGTGTGTCCTGCTCATGGTGGCTCTCGGCCTGTACTGCGGCCAGAACAAGCCCGTGGCACTGGCCCTGGAGGACTTGCGAACCCGGCTGCTGGCCATCACTCTGTGCCTGCGGCATGCGGTCCTCACCTGCTGGCGCTGCCTCCTGCAGCTCTGACAGTCCTGGGCAGGCGGAGCTGCTGTGGGGAGAGCCCAGGATTTTGAGCAGGCCCAACCTCTCGAAGAGATCTCTGCCTCTGGGCCAGTCAGGGGGACCATGGAGGGCTGACTGGGAAAGAGGGAGCCGGTGGTATGAAGGTAGACACAGGGGACGGCAGGCAGCTCCCCCCCATCAGCACAGCCGCTCCTGCTTTACATGCCAGGTCCACTGAGGTTTTATTGGGAAAGGATTTGACCACCAACAGTGGGGCCCACAGGTGCCAGGACCCAGGCTTGTCATAGACCCCTCCTTCAGGGCCCTCAGTACTCCTTTGGAGCCCCTTGAGGACTGGGGTGCCCTGCCCCAGGCCTGAGGGCTGCTTGGAGGAGGCAAGCCCAGTCTTCTGCTGCTTTCTGGGCCCAGACTCCAAACCCTATGGGGAGAAATGGGTCTGGCAGTCAGCGGGTTACTTCCTCCTGCCATCCCCATGGGGCCCTTGTGGGTATCAGGGTGCTGTCCCCTGGAACCCGGACTGGTCTGATCTCCCCACTCAGCTTCATGAGTCTGGAAAGGTCCCAGGGGAGGATCCCTGGGCTGGGGGGTATGAGTGTGAACACAGAGGGACAGCCAAGGACAAGAGTCCTAGACCCACCCCAGCCTTTGAAACACGCTTTCCTGCACCCACGCAGTTAGCCAGGGGGATGCAGCTAAGCCCTGGACTCAAGCCAGCATCACCCATTAGCTGGGGGTCTGTGGGTCCCTGTGACCATGTGTGGACGTGGTTTTGTCACCTGATGGCAAGGCTGAGGGGAACCCTGGGGTGACAAACTCCAGGGGCCTTACCAGATTCTGTGTACAGGGGAAGGACCAAATGAAGCAGGAGTTCTAAGGTTAGACACAAGGAGGGACCACCCAGGGGAGACACCGGGACACTGTTCAGACAAGCATCCATCCACGGGACAGCCTGAAACTTGAGAGCGTGGCCATCCATGGCCACTTCTTATGGGGATGTTCCCCTGGGAGGAGGATGGACGGGTTATACCCCATATTTCAGATGGGGAGACAGAGGATCAGAAGGGCTAGGTGTCTCAGGGTGGTCACCACTTGGGCTCAGCCTCTCTGTGCTCAAGGCTGCCCTCAGATCCTGGTTCTGACGAGAAATGGGCTGGGGGGAATGCCACCTCGGAGGGACTGGCCTCTCCAGTTCTACAAAGGGAAGAGAAGGATAAGCCTGGATCTCTAGGTCCTGCAAAACTACGCCCCCGGTTGTCTTTGAATAAACATTGATCAAAGACATAAATCCTGAGAAATCCTTCCAAATCTGTCCTCCCGCCTGGGAGGCGCATGGGAGGTGGTAAGGCTCGAACTCGCCTCCAAATGTGCAGATTTGAAGGCCGTGGGGAGGCCGACTTCTAGCTCCCATAAGCTTCCAGAACTAAAGGAGCCCAAACCAGAATGCCACACGTCTACCCGTGAGCTGAAGACCATCTGCGACTCAGGAACAACAAGAGCAGAGGGTGGGCATGGGGGAAGTTGGGGGGCAGAGTCCTCATTGCAGCAGAGACCGCGTTTTTGTTTTCATTTTGACTTGGAGAAATAGACACATGTGCATTGAGGAATCTTTACTTTCAGTTTAGCCAGAAGTAGGGTTAAAACAAGGACTTCCATGATCACAAAGCCGGGAGAGAAGCAAAGGTGCCTTGGAAGCGTCTGCAGTGTTCCCGCCTCAGGAACGCCAGGTCACGGCCTGCACATCTCGCCTTCCTATCCAGGAGCAGCCCAGCCTCGGGTTGACCACCAGCTCCTGCCCTGCACGTCCTGAGGTCCAGCTGTCCCTTGCCTGGGCTCCCCCAGGACGATGACACCTGGGGCACCAGGAACAGCCCCAGCCCAAGGTGACCCACTTACTGCTGGGGACATGGATGACAGACTCTCAGGCTGGAAAGAGTCCCTATGTCCCATGGGGCAGGGCAGGCACGAGGGCCTGGGGAGACCGGATCAGCTTCAGGGGTATCAGACTCTGTTGAAACACCTTCCCCTGAGGCCCTGGCAGCTAGGATCCCCTGGAGATGCATCAGCCTCGCCTCTCCCTGCCTGGCCTGGGCACCCCCTGGACGGGCACCTGCCTTCACAGAGCCTGACAGGTTACCTGCTGGCCTCACTCCTGGGTCCCAGGCTGACCACCTCCACGGGCCCCTCTATCCAAGCCCAGGCCCATGTCCCATAACCCATGCCTGCTATCTGGAGACACAAACAGCCACTGGCAGTGGACAAGGTGGTCACCGACACGGGACACCAGGGGCTCTCCTGTCCCCAAGAGGGCAGGCAGCAGCAGCGGGAGGCACACAGCAGCACTAAAGCCAGGAAAGTGGTACTTGCTCTTGGGGCCATGGGGCAGGTGAGGGTGCACTCTTACATCATGGGCCCCAAGCCCTGAACTAGGACTCAGGGGAACCTGCCAGTTGGGGATTCCGGGAACCTGCAGAGGAGGGGCCCTGGGATCAGCCCTCGGTTGCTGATCACTGAGCAGAAGAAAGAGCCCAGACATGCCCCAGTTCCTCCCCTGCCCCTGAGAGAATGCCTCAGGGCAGACTCTGTGGGAAGGGAAAGCAGCCCCCTCCTCTTAGGGGCGGGACACTGGGTGCAGGAGCCCTAGGAGCTGCAGAAGGGCTGCCCAACGCCCCACCCCCTCTGAAATGTACCCCCTTCCCACCCACGAACGTGGCGTTCAAACGCACATTCACATGAATTCACCGTGCACTCTGATACACACACGTGTATGCATGGACACACCCTCCCATGACACAGGCACACCTACACACACCTTCTCTTCCACATCATATTCACACATGCACATATGCACACATACTCATGCATACATATACACTCATACCACGCACACGCCACATGCACACACACAAATCATACTCTCACCTGTACACACATGCACACATTCACACCCTCACATGCACAAGCATGTAAATTCATAACGTCACGTGCACAGTCACTCACACACACTCACATGCACAAATTCATACCTTCACATACTTACACACTTACACTCTCACACGCACACACAGTCACACCCTCACACAAACAGGCAGTCACCACCTTCTGTGCTCACTAGCTCGCACAGAGACCCTGCCATGTAGCTGGCCCACCTCTGTGTATGGTGTGTGTTCTCCTCCATCCCCTACAAGGTGATACCCTCACTCCATGGAGCCCATGTCCCCCACCTCCCTCTCCCCAGCCACACACAGACCAAGTGTACATATGGTGAGACTGCCTCCTGGGGCCTCAGAAGCCTCTCTGAGTGGATCAAGGGCTGCTCCCCAGTGCTGCAGCACTCCCCCAGGAGGGGGACACAGTCCAGGGAGGGGGCTGTCCTGGGCCGGAAGGCTGGGAGGTGCCGTGAGCTCCCCCACACTTGAGCCAGACCTCAGGTGACATGCAGAATCGGGTCCCACATACTGCTCAGGAGCAGGGACGGACGGGAGTAGTGTCAGCCACACTGGCAAGCTGGCGGGGAAACTGACAGGTCGGGGCAGGAGGGTATGATGGCCAGACAGGTCTGCGAGGCCAGCTGGACACCCTCCCCAGGCCCACTGGCCAGGTCCTGCTAGAACAGGTGTGGGGCACAGCACGAGGCCTGGGGGCGGCCCCCAGAGTCCTTCTGCACGTCCTTGCCAGGAGCCAAGGGACACAGGGGTATGTGGGGCTGAGGCCAAGGCCCAGGAGGGCCCCCAGCTTCTCTCCAGGACAAGCTGGGGCCCCAGGCTTCCCCAGCCTGCGCTGGACCTAGATGACAGCACTCCTGTCCTCTTGGAGGGAGGCCCGTGGGGACGGCCTGGCCAGCAGCAGCTCCTTCTCATGGATCAGGCTGTCCAGCAGGTCCTCCTGGCGGTAGTTGTGGTAGACTTTCAGGAAGGCCAGGGTAGTGATGGCCAGCCAGGCCAGCCACGCAGCCCAGAGGCCGAACTGTGGGGGGGGGGTGTAGGCAGACTCAGGGGGCGGCTGGACACTTGCCACTCAGAGAAACCCCCCACCATCCCAGAGCTCTTCAGAGAAAAGACAGAACACAGAGGACTGAGACTGGGGACACAGGCAGGGCCGGTGCCTGCAGACCCCGCCCCTCGAGCTTCCTCTCTGCAGCCATCATCATGTCCCAGGACTTGGTAGCCCCCTAGGAACCCTCGGGTGAAGGCCAGGTGGGGCCCTTGAGGAGCCCCTTCTTCTTGGAGGAATCCCATCTCCTGGGAGCCCCTTCTCCTGGGGGCATCCCACCTCCTGGGAGCCCCTTCTCCTGGGGAGGTCCCATCTCCTGGAAGCTCCTCCTGAGGGGGTCCCATCTCCTGGAAGATCCTTCTCCTTGAGGGGTCCCATCTCCTGGGATCCCCTTCTTCTGGGAGGGTTCCATCTCCTAGGACTCCTTCTCCTAGGGGAATCCCACCTCCTGGGAGCCCCTTCTCCTGGGGAGGTCCCATCTCCTGGAAGCTCCTCCTGGGGGGTCCCATCTCCTGGGAGATCCTTCTCCTTGAGGGGTCCTATCTCCTGGGAGCTCCTTCTGGGGGGGGTCCCATCTCCTAGGACTCCTTCTCCTGGGGGTGGTCCCATCTCCTGGCAAGGACACACAGAAAGGTCCTATCTCCTGGGAGCTCCTTCTGGGGGGGATCCCATCTCCTAGGACTCCTTCTCCTGGGGGGTCCCATCTCCTGGGAGCCCCTTCTCCTGAGAGCCCCTTCTCCTGGGGAGGTCCCATCTCCTGGGAGCGCCTCCTGGAGGGTCCCATCTCCTGGGAGCCCCCTCTTCTTCAGGGGTCCCATCTCCTGGGAGACCCTTCTCCTGGGGGTCCCATCTCCTGGGAGCTCCTTCTGGGGGATCCCATCTCCTAGGACTCCTTCTCCTGGGGGGTCCCATCTCCTGGGACCCCTTCTCCCAGGCAGCCCCTTCTCCTATGACCCCCTTCTCTAGCAGGCCCTTTTCCCAGGAGTCCCTGCTCCTGCAGCCCCCTTCTTCTGGGGCCCTTTCTCCTGATGGACACTTTCTCCTGGGCAACCCCTTCTTCTGGGAGCCTCTTCTCCCAGGATTCCTTTCTCCCAGGAGTCCCTTGTCCTGAGACCCCCTTCTCCCAGGAGCCCCTTCCCTCCCACTGCTCTGAGTGTTGAGAGTGGAGCCCCCTCCAGCCACAGAAATAAACTGACCTCACCTGCTGTTTCCAAACAGCTGAAGGGAAACAACTGAGTGAGACCCAGGCCTGAGGCACATCAGACCCCTCGCCACTGGGGCGGGTGTGTGGTCAGACCCGCTTGCGTCTGATCTAGCTGGCGCGGTTAGGTCTGAAGCGCCTTCTACTACATGTGCACTGGGGTCCCGGCTCAGCTCGGCCAAGACCCTTCACACCCACCTGATGTGCCGCGCCTCAGGGCACTCTGCCCCTGGAGAGTCCTGAGGCCGGCCACGGCCTGAGGGTCCCTCAGAGGTCAGGCCGGGTCAAGAAGTCCACACAAAGACGGTGGGCCCTGCTCAGTGTCAGAAGGAGCTGGGTGTCTGGTCTCAGTCCCCGAACCTGAGCGCGACCATCAATGTCATCTCCACTTGAGGCACAGCCAGAGGCCGGGTCCCCTCGCCCCCTCCTGGGACGCCACATCAGCTTCCCCGGAGCTGGGGACAGCCCTGAGTCTCCTACAGGGCCTGCTTAGCAGCAGCACCAGTGTCCAATCTCCTTGGCGGGCACTGGAGCTCCCAGGACCTGACACCGGTTTTGTTTCCAGCACCCCCTCTCCACACACTTCCCCCAGACCCTGCCTCAGGCCACTCCCCAAGGCTCCCCCCATTCCATATGTCAGCCCCTCCCCTCCCCACACCCACACACAAAGACCAGCTCTCCAACCCCCTCCTGCAGGAAGCCCTCCCAACGGCTCCCACAGCCTGGGTTTCCTCCGCCTGGCCGTGTCATCAATGACCTTCACCACACAGGTGCCCATTTCCTCCCTTGGACAGGGCAGGGCTCGGTGAACATCAGGTGGTGAGCGGCCTCCTCCCCAACACCACAGGCCCCCCTCCGGCAGGAAGCCCACCTACCTGGGCGATAGCAAACTGGTCGTAGAAGGCAGAGTTGTCCACATTCAGCTCCAGGTCAATGTCCTGGAGCTCTTCACAGCTGAAACGGCAAGACGCAGGGTGGAGGGTGACCACCAGCACCACCCCACACAGTGAGGAGCAGCAGGGACTTCTCTGGGACTGCGGGGAGTTGGCCTGGAGGCTTCATTGGGCAACAGGACAGGCTTCCAGGAAGAAGTCCTACAGACCCGACCCCAACCTGGCCCTGGGCGGCCGAGGACCTCAGCCCAGCCTCTGCTTTCCAGACGCTCCAGCCTCCTCCCCACTCGCAGGGCTGCAGGGGGAGGGTGGCCACGTCCAGCCTGAGGTGGGGGCAGTGTCCCCACCAACACTGTACAGAAGTTCTGCCTGTGTCACAGGGGCACGGGACCACAGACCAAATCACCCTTCATCTCCTTGAGTGGGTGGGGCCGGGCCGGGCTCCCGGGACCGGCAGGCATCACACCCCCAATGTAAAGGGTCAGGCCAGGACACATTAACCGGATTAGGATGCCCAGAGAAAGGGAGGCCCAGCACCCTAGGCACTCCTTCAAGGGGCCAGAGGATGGGGTAGGGCCTGGAAATAGTGTTCCTGGAGGTAAAGAGACTTTGAGTGTCTACCCAGGGGGCGTCCAGGGCCCAGGGTCAGTGCTAGGACCATGCAGAAGGACCAGGCACAGTGTGGAAGACCCTGAAGGGACCCCCTGCCCAGGATGCCCAAACACTGTGCTCTGTGCCCCAGGCTGCACAGAGGAGCCCAGGACCCCCAAGTGAAGGGGCAGGACAGGCAGGCCAGGTGCCGTCTTTGGCTCTGCCACCACCTGTTTTATAGTCTATGGCTCCAGGGCTGACTTAGCTTAAGGTAAGAATGTGGGCCAGGTCCAGTGGCTCATGCCTGTAATCTCAGCACTCTGAGAGACCGAGGTGGGAGGATGACCTGAGCCCAGGACTTCAAGACTAGCCTGGGCAACACAGCAAGATCTCACCTCCACGAAAGTAAATTTAAGAAATTATTCAGGCAAGGTGGTGCATGCCTGTAGCCCCAGTTGCTTGGGGGGCTGAGATGGAAGGACCGCCTGAGCCCAGGAGGTCAAGTCTGCAGTCGTGTCACTGCACTCCAGCCTGGGCAACAGAGTGAGACCCTGACTCAAAAAAAAAATTAAGAACATGGAGCCTCTGGAAGGGACCGCCAGAGGGTCCCACTTTCCAGGGTATCAGACTGGGACACAGGTGATGCCCTTTAGGGCTGGGCAGTGGGCATCCCACTTGGGAACATGGGCAGTCACCATGCACCACTATGGGCCATCCACTGGCCAGATGCTGCCACTGCTCAGAGTCCAGAGCAGGACGGAGGCCAGGGAGCCACCCATCACCCTTCCAGAAGCTTCTTCTGCCCCATTCTTCACCAACCCCACCCCTATCACCATCTTCCGAACCCTCACCCCCCAGGGCTCTGCCTCCCGTGGGCAGCACAGGGCAGAACCTCCAGGGACCAGCTGTGTGGCCTTATCGAGTCTTCCAGGGCCCTGTCATCCAAGCCCCAAGGATGACCAGCTGGAGTCTCTGGCTACCTGGGCCCATCCCCCACCCTGCATCCAGACTCCCCGACTCATGGGGACTTCCTTGTGAGAAACGGTCCTGGGGCGGGTAAGGAGCCAACCCGGTGTGCACAGGCAGGGCACAGGGGGGACTCGGGGTGGGAGTCAGAAGGGAGCACAGCCAGGCCCCAGGCAGGGGCTGCCAAGGGGGTCTCCCGGGGAGGCGGGCCAGGCGCACCTGCGGGACATGGTGCCCTTTTCGGTGATGGCATCACACCACATGGTGAAGCCCACGCTCACGATGGTGCTCGCGATGAAGACCAGGAAGACCACAAGGGCGCTGACCAGGAGGTTCAGGAAGGCGTAGAAGAAGGAGCTGCAGGCGGGGCGAGAGGGGGACATTGCGGGGCAATGTGTGACCCCCACCAAAGCTCCTCAACACCCGGGGCTTCCCCACTGGCACAGGGGGCATGGGGGCTGCTCCCCTCCCTGCACCATCCCTACCCCACGGGTGGCTCCCTGTGCTGGCCCTGGGCAGCCTGTCTCCTTCTCCCAAAGACCTGGGAGCTGAAACCCTTGTCACCACTGCTTCATAGGAGAGGCAAGGCTGAGACTAAAATCCAAGCCCGCTTGGTCCCCAGCACGGGAGCTGGCACCCACCCTGGACACGCAGGCTACCCTTCCAAAGTCGTCCACCCAGGGACCAGCAGCTGAGGTCTGAATGTCTGCAGCCCCCAAATCCATGTGCTGAAATCCTAACCCATAAGGTGGCAGTATTAGGAGGTGAGGTCTTTGGAAGGCTGGGAGGTCAGAAGGGTGGAGTCCCCCTGAAAGGGATCTGTGCCCTTGCAAAAGAGACCCCCAGAGCTCCTTTGCCCTTTCCTCCATGTGAGAACACAGCGAGAAGGTGCCATCAGGAGAAGCAGGTCCTCACCAGACAGCAAAACTGCCAGCGCCTTGACCTTGGCCTTGCAGCCTCCGGAACCAAGACAACCAACACCTGCTGTGTGTGACCCACCTGGCCTGCGGTGCTGTCAAGCAGCCATGTACGACACGGCCATCAGCACAGGTTGGCCCAGTCCTGCCTTGGGGACCTGCCTGGCAACTCTGCTCTGATCTATCCACTTAAACTTGGAAGGCCAAGCTGTGATGGGGCCCGACATGGTATGGGGGTCAGGCCCAGGGCACTGGAACCCCAAGGTAGGGCTGAGAGGGAGGTGCTTGCTTAGGGCAGGACTACCCCACCCGAGCCTCAGCCAGGGTCCACATGGCCACATCTCTGCCAGTGTCCTCTTCTGATGACACAGGACATGTGATCAGATCACCCCACACTACCATCCCCTCCTGTCTCGTCCACAAACAGCTACCATCTCTGAATTGCTTCGTCAGGATTCAAAGTCCCTGGAATAAGCTCTGGGTGGGCAGTCTGGGGTACATACTGAGGCTTTGGACGTAGGGCTGGGAGGAGAGGGACCGTCCCTCCAGTGGGACCCCTGAGAGGAATGCCCCCACAGGAGGACAGAAGCACAGAACAGGGCAGCTGAGAAAGGGCCGTGCCCAACCCTAGCCCACCCACAGGCCAACATTAGCCCCAGCGCTGTCGGTGAATCTCAGGGAAACGTCAGCAGAACCTGCTTCCAAGCGACTGAGGCACAAACAAGGTCTCCACTGAGTCTCAGCTGAGAAAACATCAACATTATCATCATCTGGCCACAATCACTACTGACTGCCACAAAGCAGGGACCGTGCACTGTCCATGGCCTGTCCTGCCATCTACTGGCCCCACGCTGGACACAGGACAGAGTGACGGAAACAAGGTGCTGATGGGAACCGGGTCACAGCACAGGTGTCCCAGGCCACCCTGCAACAGGTGGACCCCTCCAACATCTCTAGGCAACAGTTCCCAGGGTAGCTGTTGACAGGCTCAGCCCCGGCCACACCATCTTGGTGGCCACTGAGTGATGGCACAGCTGCCCAGGAATGGCAGGGCTTGAGCCACCACCTCACAGAGTCCCAGATGAAGAGAGAGGACATGGAAATGCTCTTAAAGCCATGGTCTGTGATCCCAGCAGGCACAAGAAGGACAGTGCCAACAGAACACACATGTGTACATGGGGCCCCTGAGCCTCTGTCCATACCTCACAGCCACAGATGGCTGGAGGGCGAGGACCACGTGTTGAAGAGCAACCCAGTCCCACTGGGAAGCTCCACTGTCCAAAGCTCTCTGAAGAGCAAGATGTCGGCAGCGGGAGTGCACTGGAGCGGACATGGGGCCGTCTGGGGTCCCTCTGCTGTGGGGCCATCCCATGTCCCTCTGCCACCCTGCAGGAGCTGTGTAGCAGCTCAGCACTGCACCCAGCTTTCAGAGCATGGCTCCATCATGCATGGGACTGGCCCCATGCCGCCCTGAATTTGAGCCACCCGTGTGCTGGTGTCTCCCACCTGCGCTCCAGAGCTCGCCCCGTCTCCCTCCTCTGACCTGTGAGAACCGTGGTAATGGCCCCAGGTCCTCTGGCTTCCACTGGGTTTGGCCAGCAGGGATTGCAACAGAGGTAGGAGGGCAAGGCGGGCGTTTGCTCCCAGGGCCCTCCACTGAAGTCCCGCTCCTTTTCAGCTGGCCTCTTCTACACAACCCTCCTTGCCAGGTCCCATTAGCCAGAGGTGGTGACAGGCCTACCTCCACTAACCCTGGGTGAGCCACAGTTGGGTGAGCCATCTGCTTCCAGCTGGAACCCTGATGACACAATTCTGAACCCCCAAATCCGTCTGGCCCTGGAGTCTGAATAAGGGCCCGGGGCCTATCGACACAGAGCGGGGCATATCCCAGCCCAGCACACCTCTGGGGTCTTAGACTGGCCAGTCTACCCCAGCCACAGAGAACTCGGCGGCCAGGCCTGGCCAGGCTGGAGTCCCACAGGCAGAGGTGAAGCAACAGCCCAAGCTTGGCACAGAGCTCCAGCTTGCTAGACAGTGGCAGAGTGGGGGCTTGGGATAGCACCTCGCCAGCGTCCCGGGGACACATCCATCCCTCCACCTGTTGGATGGCCCTCTGCGGTCCGCCAAGAGCCTGTCCAGTAGGGGCACCCTCCACACATGGCAGACTTCTCTGAGAGGCTGTCCCAGGGGCCAGCCTCAGAGTGCCTCCCGGGAGGGCCAGGCTGGCCACGGGGCAGAGCAAGGCCAGGCGAGGGCCCACAATGCCTGGCACATCTCAGTCCCACTCCAGGGGGCATGGGCAGCCCCCTGCTTGCCTATACCGAATTCCAGACAGGCACATGCATAGCTGGAGCTCCCAGGACAGGGTCTCCCAACTGTCCCCCCCCATCCCCCATTGCCCCAACCGGTGCCTGCAAGGCACCAGGCACAGTACAGTAGGCCTGAGACACATCAGGTGACTTGCCTGTAGGAGGGCTGCCCCCCCCTGCTCCTTCCCCCCTCGGAGAGGGGTCTGAGGCACAACCTTGAACATCCAGAAAGTCCAGGCATCTGGAGACTCAACACTCCAGTTGTGCCTCTACTAAATGGGCACCATTTGGAGTCTCCCACATGGTCAGAGCATGGAGCTCTCTGGGCAGTGAGGAAGCGACCCCAAGCTGGGGCCACTGCCAGCCAGCAGCCTTTCTACTCTCCTGTCCATTTCTGATTGGTTTTCATGGGACCTGCCTGGGCTGTCCAGATTTTTGAAGAATTGAATGTGTCCAGAGCCTCACCTGGACCGAGCACCCCAGAGTTCACAAGGACAGGACAGGATGGGACAGCAGTCAGGAACAAGGAGTCCGGCACACACTGGGTTAACTCCACCGCCTCTCAGGGTGCCTGGCCTGGTTGTGCCGTCTCCATGGTGACAGCTGTCCTGGGAAGCCCAGCAATTTGAAGACTCAGCTGGCAGATGGGGTGAGGGGCAGATGATGGGGTTCTTTAACCCAGCACCCCCAGCCCACCAATCACAAGCTGCCACACCTCAGCCCACTCGTCTGCCCTAAAACAGCAAGCCCCCTGAAACGCAGTTGCCACTGATCAATTCATCATTCATTCATTCGCTCAGGAAAAAATGGTGGAGCAGCAAGATGACACCCTTCTGCAAAAGCTGCCCCCAGACTCTAACTTTTTACCTCCTGGTTGCGAGCTGCCGGGCCCTCAATTTGCACCCCCAGCATGGGGAGGGAGCTGGCAGCTCAGACACAGCTTCCCTCTCAGAGTTCAGGACCCAACCTGAGCCCCTCAAACAGACTCAGGCAGGGCTGCACCCCAGGCACTAGTGAGACAGGGTCACGCTGCCCCTGAAGGTGACTCCAGTCTCAGGTGTGTCAGAGTGTATGCAACTTGCACCAGCCCTCAAGGCCACAGTCTGACTCCAGTGGCTGTGTTCATCACATAAGCACCCCGAAAATGCCCAACCCAGCCCCTTGGCTGTCCCGAGGTCCCTCACTGACTCAGTTCTTGCCCGCCCGGTTTGTGTGGGTGACCATCGATTGAGTTGAAATCAGCTCCACTGGGCTGACCCACTGTGCCTATCACTGGAGCCTGCAGATCCAGCCTTCCTGGAGGTCCCGAGCTTTCTGACACAATGAGTCTGAAGAGTGGACCTCTTGGCCAGACCATGCATCCGCAAAGCTATCAGGGCCAGGTGAGCAACCACAAGCAGCAAAGCTCAGGATCTGGCCATCTTTCTGTCTGTCATTCAACAAATGCTGTTTGGTGACTCCTATGTACTGTGCCCTGTGTTCAGCCCTAGGGACGTAGATGAATGAGGCACACACCTGCCTGGGGTTCACCCAGCCTAGGATCCTCTGGGCCTGAGATGGTTCTCAGAGCTGTAGCCTATTGCTATAATCAGAACTCAATGGAGAGCTGAAACTTTACTGAAATGTTACTACACCAGTCGTATGCCAATCCATGAAGTAAGAGCAGGTGGCTACACCACCATCTGGCCTCAGCCACTAATTCCTGATAGCCAAGAGGACATTAGACATCAGATGCCCCTGGGGAAGAGAAGGTTGGCCAGAGGCCACCAGACGTAGGGCAGGTGACCCCGAGCACTGAAACAAAGGGGCAGAAGACCTTGAATGTCCCACCAACCAACCCCACAGCCCAGAGAGCAGGAACTGCCCAGATCTGGCCCCTGGTGGAGTCAGGGCCATGGGAGCCCCTGAGACACTCTCTCTGACCTCCAGGCATGAGCATGCCAAGTCAGCCAGGGTTTCCTAAAGCCCAGAGGGGCAGGTCAGCAGGTGCAGTGGAGGCCATGGAGCCAGCTGCATCCAGCCCATGCTACTCCTTGGGAGGACGAACCCCAAAACCACCCCTGAGAGAGCCCATGTCCCCTCAGGCCTGGGTTTCCTCCCCTTGAAACGAGATGGTGCTGGCAGTGTCCCAGGGACGAGGGACACCTTCCTCGAGAGAACAAAGGCAGAGCTACTGTGTTGCCATTCCTAGTGTGCATGACCTGGCTCCTCATACCCTTGCCCTGTCCTCCCACCTCTGATGGTATCCCCCTCTCTGAAGGCCTCCATGGCTCTAACCACAGAACGAAGTCTTATCTAGAGAGTTGTGGGCCCCAGCTGGCTCCTGTGCACTGGGGGACACCCAGAATGCTGGGGCAGTATCACTGAACTATGGCTCCACACAGCAGTAGCCTCCACCCTCAGCTCCTCAGACTGAAGGGACCTCAAGCCTCAGGGGGGTTACCCCACTTACAAGCCATCCACTGCCTTCTCCAGACCCTGCCCTGACCTGCACACGGGGCTCTGACTGGGGAACTCTTGGGCCTGGCACCATGGGTGCAGGTGACATCTCAAGCATCTCCTCAAGACACTAGCCACTTAGCAGGCTGAGGGAAAGAGAGGGCCTACCGAAGGTAGGACACCACTGGCCTGGGACTGGCCTGGGCACACTCTGGGAGACTTCAGCCACACATCCCAGAGTTTGGGCCCACGGCACTTGGAGGCCTGGGGGACACCTGGCTTCCTGCTGACCCCTACCCAGAACCTTAATGTCGTGGGTTGAACGGTGTCCCCCAAATCCTAACCCCTGGAACCTATCAATGTGACTTCATTTGCAAACAGGGTCTTTATAGGTATAACTAAGCTAAGGATCTCAGAATGAGATCATTCTGGATGTAGAGTGGCCCCAAATCCAGCGATTGGTGTCCTTTTGAGAAGAAAAGGAGACACAGAGAAACAGAAGAGGGCTGCAGGAAGACAGGCAGAGACTGGAGTGACAAGGCCCCATGCCAAGGGACAACAAAGGTGCTGACAGTCACCAGCAGATGGGAGAGGTGTCAAGGGACCTTCCTTCAGGGCCGTGGTGGGAACCAACCCTGCTGACACCTCAATTCTGGACTTCTGGCACTCAGCACTGTGAGACAGCAAAATAGTCTTAAGTCTCCAGTGTGTGGGACCAGCTGTGACAGCCCCAGGCTCTTATGCCCTCATGCTGGGAGTTTCACCGCCCACCCAAGGTTCCCAGTCCCACTCAGGCACAACCGGGCTACCCTCCCTTCCCCCGGAGCCCCTTCTTCCTCTCTCTGACCCCTCTTTCTGTGCCAAGACCATGCCAAGGTTTGCGGGGAGTGAGTGACAGGAGGGCCTGCTCCAGCTCCTGCCCCCTTTCCTCAGAGCCCCTTCTCTGCCCCTTCTCCCACCTCCCTGCAAGGAGTGAAAATCCCCTTAAGGCCAGACATGGAGGCTCCTTCCTGCAATCCGCGCACTTTGGGAGGCCAAGATGAGAGGATCCCTCATGGTCAGGAGTTTGAGACCAACCTGGCAAAATAGCAAGACCCTGTCTCTACAAAAAAGTTTTAAAATGTGCCAGGCATGGTGGCCTGTGCCTGTAGTCCCAGCTACTCAGGATGCTGAAGGAGGAGGATCACCTGAGCCCAGGAGTTCAAGCCTGCAGGGGGCTGCACTTCGGCATGGGCAACAGAGCAAGACCCTGTTTCTAAAGCAAAAGTTTGTTTTTAAGTCACTAAAAACTGCCAGCGAAGGATGGGTGAGGGTGGAGCAGAGTTTGGGCGGGGGCCTGGATGTCACAAGTGCCCTCCTGGGACCTCTGCTGGGGCCCAGGGCCACGCCAAGCCACAGCAGTCCTGGGCCAGGGGAGAAGGGTCCTCCCCCCAGCAAGGGAGGAGGCTCATGGGGTGCCACTGGCTGAGGGGTCCACCTGCCCCAGTGAATCACACCCCACAGGCTCTGGGTGAACCTAGGGCAGGAAAGGGGAGGCAGGCAGGGAAGAGGAGGCCACGTGAGGACACAGCAGAGTCCCCATCCC